CCTGAACACCAACAGGTGTGGAAAAAGATTCTTCAACAAAAATTGAAAAAGTATAAGAAAACTTTAATCAGAAATCAAGAACTAAGTTGCATAGTAGGAGAATTGAAAAATATTGAAGGGAACAGGCAACAGATAAACAGAAGAAGAGATGGAATCTGTGTTCAAGAACACTGATTTGGAGGCTGGTGTGACAGCGTAGTGGGTAGGGTGTTTGCCTTGCATGTGGCCGACCTTGGTTCAATTCCCAGCATCCCATAATCCTATGTGGTTCCTCGAACACCACCAGGAGTAGCTCCTGAGTGTAGAGCCAGGAGTAACCCCTGGGCATCACCTGGTGTGACCCAAAAAGCAAAAAAAAAAAAAAAAGAAAGAAAGAAAGAAAGAAAGAAAGAAAGAAAGAAAGAAAGAAATAACACTGATTCTTTGTACACAGCCAGGACTAATCTCTGGCATTTCAAATGGTCCCCCAGCCAGGAATGATTTCTGAGAGCCAGGAATAAACTCTGAGCATTGCTGCTGACTGAGACCCCCAAACAAACAAACAACAAACTCCCAAATAAACTGACAAAAATCTGACATTTATGGACAACCTTAACAAAGAAAACTAAATCTTTTCTTTGTTTTGTAACTTGAAACTGGCAATGCTTAGGGCTTACTCCTGTTTTAGGGGTCACTCACTCCTGGTGGTGCTTGGGGGATTCTATGCAATGCTAGGAACTGAAATGTGATCTGCCCCATGCAAGGTAAGCAGCTACACTGCTAGTCCAGTCCCTCAATATTCAAAGATAACCCACTACCTATCCTTCTTTCCTAAGGTTTTACAAAGCATAATCAAATGGAAATTCTTCCAAATGGCTACTGTTAAGGCCATCACCCTGACACAAAAAGCTCAAAGTTTGCTCACAAATAAAGCAAACTCAAGACCAATATTCCTCATGCACATAGATACAAAGATCCTCAACAAACTCTTACTGAATTAAATCCAATAGTATATTTAAATGATCATACATCAACCAAGTGGGACTTATTCCAGGGATGCAAAAGTAGTTCAACATGTATAAATCAATTAATGCAATACACCAAATTAATTAAAGATCATTTAATTATATCTATAGTTAAAGAGAAAACTTTTGACACTATAAGAATCTTCATATGTTTAAAATAAAACCTCTAGGATCATAGATATAGTACAGGATGTTTGCTTTTATGTGGTTGACTTCTGTTCAACAACCTCAGTAACCAGCAACACATATTTTACCCCAGGCATCATTAAGTATGACCTTTGAACACAGAGTTAGGAGTAGGACCAAGACACCCACCAAAAAAAAAGTATTAAAACTCTCAACAAAATGGGGATATAAGAAATATATCCCAACTTTGTAAATACTAATACCCCCCACAAAAGGACAGACTAAAATTAGACTCAGTGGTGAAAAACTGAAAGCTTTTCCTCTAAGGAAGGTCAGGCAGAAACACAGTATGTCTCCCTGCAGCACTATTATTCAACATAGGTCTAGAAGTCTTACAATCAATAGCAATTTATTTTTGATAAAATAAAATATAGAATAAAATTGAAAAATAAAAATAATTGAAACTGGAAGCGTTCAGCCTAAGGACCACATGGAGGGTGCGGGAACCACAGATCCCGGAGGGGGAAAAAAAAAAAAAACAGGTTCCAAAAAGAGCCGAGATCACCGGCAAGTTCCAGATGGAGTAGGTGCCGCATCCCGCCTCCCCCAGATGGAACCCCGGTGACCAGAAGCCTCTACAAACACAGCTCAAGTATGCGGGAACAGGGACTTTTTCTCAAAACCGCGCGGCCGCGTAAGCGGCCGCGCGACATCTCTCTATACACAAAGTGATCAATGAGAAGTAAACCACCCAATCTTTCTCCCTGAAAATCAGAGTTAAGTTTGGAGCACGGCCACAGCCCCAGAAACACAAGGACTTAATGCAGAACCCGGCAGCTTAGAGCAGAAAAGTGAACGGACGATGCTTTAACCCAGGCCATCATTTCTGCCCAGAGGGGAAAGGGTGTTGCCCCATTCGCCCTCTCTTCTCTGGAAAGAAGGATGGCGGCCGCATGGGAGCCTTGTGGACAGCAGGTATGAGCCGGGAGTGTGGGGGCGACTAAAACCTCCTGGGAAGGGGGGCGTTGCGGTCCGTCCTTCACGCCCTACCGAGGTCACCAGTTGCCCCCCACGAGCGGCTCTCCAGCACAGCCACAGCCCCAGAAGCACAAGGACTTAATGCAGAACCCAGCAGCTTGGAGCAGAAAAGTGAACGGACTATGCGTTGATCCAGGCCATCAAGTCTGCCGGAGGGGAAAGGGTGTTGCCCTATTCGCCCTCTCTTCTCTGGAAAGAAGGATGGCGGCCGCATGGGAGCCTTGTGGACAGCAGGTATGAGCCGGGGGGTGTGGGGGCGACTAAAACCTCCTGGGAAGGGGGGCGTTGCGGTCCGTCCTTCACGCCCTACCGAGGTCACCAGTTGCCCCCCACGAGCGGCTCTCCAGCACAGCCACAGCCCCAGAAGCACAAGGACTTAATGCAGAATCCAGCAGCTTGGAGCAGAAAAGTGAAAGGATTATGCGTTAATCCAGGCCATCATGTCTGCCCGGAGGGGAAAGGGTGTTGCTCCCTTCCGCCCTCCTCCCTCTGGAAAGAAAGATGGCGGCCACATGGGAGCCTTGTGGACAGCAGGTATGAGCTGGGGGTGTGGGGGCGACTAAAACCTCATGGGAAGGGGGGCGTTCCAGTCCGTCCTTCACGCCCTACCGAGGTCACCAGTTGCCCCCCACGAGCGGCTCTCCAGCACAGCCACGGCCCCAGAAGCACAAGGACTTAATGCAGAACCCAGCAGCTTGGAGCAGAAAAGTGAACGGACTATGCGTTGATCCAGGCCATCAAGTCTGCCGGAGGGGAAAGGGTGTTGCCCCATTCGCCCTCTCCTCTCTGGAAAGAAAGATGGCGGCCACATGGGAGCCTTGTGGACAGCAGGTATGAGCCGGGAGTGTGGGGGCGACTAAAACCTCATGGGAAGGGGGGCGTTTCGCTCCGCCCTTCACGCCCTACCGAGGCCACCGGTCCCCCCCGCGAGCGGCTCTCCAGCACGGCCACGACTCCAGAACACAGAAACCAATTTCTTAACTATCTGACTTTCAGTAGAAATACTTCCAGGGTCAATAGGTAAAATAGCAGAAATCCAAAACCAACATTTAATTCTTGAACCCAGCTGTAGAAAGCAAATCACTTCACAATGCTTTTTCAGCATGTCTGATTTGGGGGGGGGGTAAACTCTAAATAATAGTGGTGAATCTTTTATTGAAACAATGAATCTAATCAAAGCAGATAGAGTGTTAACTAGAATTCATCTGCCTCACAGGGACGGGGAGGGGTGGGGGGTGGGGTTTTATTGGGGTTCTTCATGGTAAAAAATAAGTATTGGTAAAGGGAAATGTGTTTGATATTTGCATGACTGAGACATAAACCTGAAAGCTTTGTAACCTTTCCCACAGTGATTCAATAAATAAATAAGAAAAAAAATGAGAAGAAATGAATAGTAGTTTCCTCAAAAAAGAAATACAAATGGCCAAAAGGTACATGAAAAAATGCTCCACATCACTAGCTATCAGGGAGATACAAATCAAAACAACAATAAGATATCATCTCGTACCACAGAGACTGGCAGGCATTCAAAAGAACAAAAGCAACCATTGCTGGCGTGGATGTAGGGAAAAAGAGACACTCACTGTTTGTGGGAATGCCCACTAGTCCAGCCTTTCTGATAAACAATATGGACAGTCCTTCAAAAACTAGAAATTGAGCTTCCATATGACTCCGCAATACCACTTTTGGGAATATATCCCGAGGATGCATAAAAGCACAGTAGAAATGACACCTGTACCTATATGTTTATTGCAGAACTGTTCACAATAGCCAAAATCTAGAAACAAGCCAAGTGCCCTAGAACAAATGACTGGTTAAAGAAACTTTGGTACAACTACACAATGGAATACTATGCAGCTATCAGGAGAGATGAAGTCATGAACTTTGCTTATAAATGGATAGACATGGAGAGTATCATGCTCAGTGAAATGAGTCAGAAAGAGAGGAACAGACATAGAAGGACTGGACTCATTTGTGAAGTATAAAACAACATAACATGAGGCTGACAGCTAAGGATAGTAGAGACACGGGAAAGACAGATTGTTCCACAGCTGGAAGCCTCCCTATAAGCAAAGGGGAGAAGGCAGCTGGAATAGAGAAGGAATCACTAAGAAAATGATGGCTGGAGGAATCGGTTAAGATGGGAGATGTGTGCAGAAAGTAGATAAAGGACCAAACATGATAACCTCTCAGTGTCTGTATTGCAAACCATAATGCTCAAAAGTAGAGAGAGATTATGGGGAATAATGTCTGCCATGGAGGCAGTGGGAAGGTGGGAAAGGGGGGTGTACCAGGGATGTTGGTGCTTGGGAATGTGCACTGGTGGAGGAATGGGTGTTTGATCATTGTGTGATTGTAACCCAAACATGAAAGCTTGTACTATCTCATGGTGATTCAATAAAATTAAGAAAAAAAACTGCAAAAAAAATAAAATAAAATAATTGAAACTATGAAATTATGTTAATGTGTAATTAACATCACACAGACATAAAAATACTAAAGATTTTATTGACAGTTTTAGAATTATACCAGTACAATAGATTTAGCAGATACATTTAGCAATACATTTTAAAATGTCATATTTCTATATGCACTAATAATATACAAATAACAAACTAGAAGAGAAAAATCTAGAAAACCATCCCATTTACAAAAATAAAGTTCTTGGGAATTAATTCGACTATGAAGTTGAAACATTTATACATCACATCAAAAACCTTGCTACTATTTTAAAAACAAAATACCCAAGAAAGTAGAAAAATGTTCTATGTGTAAGACTCGAAAGAATTAGCAGTGATAGAATGACTCAATAATCCAAAGCATTTCATAGAGTCAATCCAATACAATAAAAATCCCAATGCCAACCTTCAAAGACACATAATTAACAGTATTAAAATGTGTGCATTCTACTCCCTAAAAAAGAGGAGATTACTTTTCAAATTTAAACTACATTATAAAATGATGGTAATAAAAAGTCTGTAATGGTATATAAGCAGACATAAAGACCAACAGAACAGAGTTGAGCCCAGGACCACACAATGGAGAAAGAAAAATCTATTCAGCAAATGGAGCTAAGAAAGTTGAATACTACTTGCATACGGCTGAAACTAAATTTCTACCTAAACCTATATATATGCATGTGTGTAGGTATATATGTGTGTGTATTATAATATCTTAATCCAGCTATCTTCCCATAGATGTTAGTTGTTCATACCTTATCTATTAAAAATAATGCTTCTATGAACAAAGTTATGTATATATGTCTTTAAATTAGTATTTTATGTTCATTGGATTCCACCTAAGAGTGGAATTCAAATCTTATGTAGATACCTTCTATTTTATTTATTTTTTTCAAATTTCTAAATTTTTTTCACAAAGACTGAATTCATGTTCATATTCCATCAACAGTGAAACAAGGGTTCTTTTTCTTTTGTCCACATTCCTACTAATATTTTTATCTGTGTGTGTTCGGATCTGTGGGTGATGACCACAGCCCATCTGGATGCAGGCGGAGGAGTGGGAAGAAATGAGCAAAGTGAGTGGGGGGCCCCACCCTGGGGCACCGGGTACCGGGATGCCCAAGGCTTCTGCCCGACTCCCTGCACTCGCCCTGCCCCTCACCCCCCCACCCCAACATGCATGTTGGCTTCCCCAGCCCAGCCGCACCTTCTGCCCTGCCAGCCTGTGCCCCGACATCACTGGCCGTTTCACGTCTGGCTTCCCCTCCCTCTGTCCTCCCGCAGGGCCAGCACCGAGAGGCTGGGACCCCCTATGCCAAGTACGGAGGGTGGTACAAGGCCTGCAAAGTGAGCAGGTGAGCGCCCCCAGAGATGTCCTCCACAGGACAGATTCCAGATTCAGATTCCAGTCCCGGGGCTTACCATCTTCCCTGAGGCTTCTCTCTCGCCTGTTTCTTTTTCTTTTTCTTTTTTTCCTTTTGGGTCACACCCGCGAAACTCTGGGGTTACTCCTGGCTCAGGCACTCAGGAATTACTCCCGGCGGTCCTCGGGAGACTATATGGGATGCCAGGGATTAAACCGCTGTTGGCCACATGCAAGGCAAATGCCCTCCCCCCCCCCCCCCCCCCCACTATCACTCCGGTTCCATCTCACCTGTTTCTTTTCTGTTGAATTTCTTTCTGGACCATACCTGGTAGCAATGCCCAGGGGTTACTCCTGGCAGTGCTTGGGGGCCCACTGGGGTGCCAGGGCTAGAATACTGGCCAAACACAGTAACAATGAGTTTCACAATGGAGATGTTACTGGGCCTGCTCGAGCAAATTGATGAACAATGGGAGCATCGTGCTACCGTGCCCTGTCATGTGTATGTGTTCTCATTTCTCATCTCACTCACCTGCGTAGAAACTGCCCATGTAAATTGATTTTATTACCTTCACTTTCTCTACCGTAACATCTTTGGTTCCTGAACAAGGAAACTACAAGGTCTAATTTATTTTTGGAATTCATAAACTGAATTGAAATGGTAACATTTGTGCCAGTATTTAATGTTCTTCCTATATTTTACTAAGATAGACATTGTCTGAATAGGAGATGGAGAGTGGCCATTAGTATTTATTAACAGTTTTACAGGAGTCTATGTTCAGGATCAAAAACTAGAAATATTAGTGACGTTTAAAAACATAGAGAGATTAGTCCTTTTAAAAACATAGAGATATTAGCCCTGAGCAGCACCATGGCTATAGGCAAAAATAAGCACCTTACCAAAAGATGGAAAAAAGGGAGCCAAGAAGAAAGTGGTGATCCATTTTCTAAGAAAAACTGACATGCATGAAAACACCCGTGAAGTTTAATATAAGTGGGCTCAGATCTCTGACTAACACCATGTACAAAAGTAAGATCAAAATGGATTAAAGACCTCAAAATCAGCCGGAAACCCATAAAGTTCATTGAAGACAAAGTTGGCAAAACCCTCCATGATATTGAAGCTAATGGTATCTTCAAAGATGTCATGCCACTGGCCAAGCAAGTGAAAACAGAGATAGACAAATGGGACTATCTTAAACTTAGAAGCTTCTGCACCTCAAAAGAAACAGTGACCAAAATACAAAGACAGTCTACAGAATGGGAAAGGATATTCACCCCATATGCATCTGATAAGGGGTTGATATCAAGGATATACAAGGTACTGGTTGAACTCCACAAGAAGAAAACATCCAACCCCATAAAAAATGGGGCAATGAAATGAACAGAAACTTTTTCAAAGAAGAAATCCGAATGGCTAAAAGGCACATGAGAAAATGCTCTACGTCATTAATCATCAGGGAGATGTACATCAAAACCACAATGATATATCATTTCACACCACAGAGACTGGCCCACATCCAAATGAACAAAAGCATCCGGTGCTGGCGCAGATGTGGCGAGAAAGGGACCCTCCTTCACTGCTGGTGGCAATGCCGACTGGTTCAGCGCTTTTGGAAAACAGTATGGACGACTCTCAAAAAATTAGAAATTGATCTCCCATTTCAGCCAGCAATACCACTCCTGGGAATATATCCCAGAGAGGCAAAGAAGTATAGTCGAAGTGACATCTGCACTTGTTTGTTCATTGCATCACTATTTACAATATTTACACCACTATTTACAATAGCCAGAATCTGGAAAAAACCTGAGTGCCCGAGAACAGATGACTGGTTAATGAAACTTTGGTACATTAACACAATGGAGTACACCTAGCTGTTAGAAAAGATGAAGTCATGAGATTTACATACAAGTGGTACTACATGGAAAGTATCATGTTAAGCGAAATGAGTCAGAAAGAGAGGAATAGACATAGAAAGATTGCATTCATCTGGGGAACATAAAGTAACAAAATAGGAGACTAACACTCAAGAGTGGCCGAGCTTAGTACCAGGAATTTTGCTCCATGGCTTGGAGGCCGATTTATGTAGCAAGTCACAGTATTTGGATGGCAGCAGTTGTGTGGTGAGCATGACAAAAGCATTGATCCACACCATAATGAGGTGCTCGCACGACCAGCGCATGTCATAGTACTGGGTACTCTTCACAAAACACAGGGGGAGGAAGGCAACATAATAGGCACTGAAGAGGGAGTTGAAGAGAACTTCCTTGATTCGGTGGTTGAAATCTGCTTTCAGACATTCTATTTCATTGCGAATGAGGTCTGGAGAGAGGGGGCAGCTGTGGGTGGGGATGGGCGTGGCGTTATTAAACTGTTCCTTCAGCGACTCCAGCAATAAGGAGAGGAAGTCCTTGGACTTGGCCAAGCCACCCACATTTGAGGCACTTTCCTCTACTGCCTGGTGCTGAACCACGTAGTTATAGTCCGTGAGGAGAAGGTGAGCTCTACTGTCTTGGTGGAAACAGCAGAGAGGAACATAAACACCAAACGGGTAGCCAAGGAAAAGAAGATTGAGGACTGAATGGCTTCGAAAGAGGTTGACAAGGGTCCAGCAAAGCACCCATCCACACAAAGTGAGTAGCACCAAGCGAGCTGATATCAGGACCATGTAGTGAATCATAGATGCTGCGCCCACCTTAGTGGCCTCTGAGATGAGGGCCCAGACAAGTCTCCTCGCAAGCATCACTGTGATGAACGCTGCCAGGTAGTAATCAATGAGATGAAAATTTAGTGAAGTACAAGACGCAGGATAGTTGTAAGGGTACCACCACACTGTTTTGTAGATGTTGATGTACTGAATGAACAAGGCCACCAGCAAGTAGATGAAAAAGAGAAACTCAAAGAGCAGGCTCCCATCCACAGGCAGATCAGGAATTTGGCAATGACGAACAGGACCTGGGGTGATTAGGGCTGTGATAGGTGGGACCGGAAGGCCAATAGCACTACCATTCCTGTTTCTCAGGCCTGCTCTATTGCCACAGCCCCCACCAACCAATCCGACACGCCATTTCGTCGGTAAAGAAACAAACAGCACCCGGCCCAGACAAGGTCAGACCCGAACACCTGAAGAACCTGCCGTCAGTACTCATCAATACACTGGCTCGGCTCTTCACTCGCTACCTGTCTGAATGCAAGGTTCCATCCCAATGGAAAACCAGCAGGACCGTACTACTGTTCAAGAAGGGAGACATCCATGACATTGGCAACTATCGCCCGATCTGCCTATTGTCTGTCATCTACAAGTTGTTCACTCGAGTCATCCTGAATAGGATTGGCAGAACACTAGATGAAGGACAACCATGCAAGCAAGCTGGGTTCCGCAAAGGATTCAGCACCATCGACCATATCCACACAATAACCAAGCTCATTGAGGTTTCTCGGGAGTTCAAGATGCCGCTCTGCTTAACGTTCATTGATTTAAAGAAGGCCTTTGATTCTGTTGAGACAGAAGCGGTCATTGAAGCCCTAGCCACTCAGGGCATTCAAGCCCAATACATCAGGATCCTCCGTGAGCTGTATTGCGGATTCACTACCAGGATCTCACCATTCTACAAAGAAGTGATCGTTGATGTCAAGAGAGGGGTGCGGCAGGGTGATACCATTTCACCGAAACTCTTCAGTGCCACCCTCGAGAACATCATGCGACGACTGGAATGGGAAGGAATGGGAGTGAAGATAGATGGTCGGCAATTACACCACCTCCGCTTTGCTGATGACATTGTTTTAATAACACCAAACATCAGCCAAGCGGCACAAATGCTGGCCGACTTTGACCGTGAGTGTGGAAAGGTAGGACTACAGCTGAATCTTACGAAGACAATGTTTATGAGAAACAGCCTTGTTCCTGACGCCCCATTCGCTCTCAATGGAACGACCATCTCCGAATGCAACAGCTATGTGTACCTAGGTCGAGAAGTCAACATGACAAATGACCTCCAAGCTGCGCAGGAGGAAGAGAGCGGCTTGGAACGCCTTCAAGAACGTCGAAGAAATAGCTAAGAGGACGAAGAACCTCCGGCTCCGGGCACATCTCTTTGATTCCACTGTTCTTCCTGCATTAACATATGCCTCAGAGACCTGGGCCCTACGCAAACAAGATGAGAACGCCATTCAGGTCTCCCAAAGAAGAATAGAAAGAGCTATGCTTGGAATATCACGTTTCACTCAAATGAGAGAAAGAATCCGGAGTTCTGACATCCGTCGACGATCAAGGATCAGGGACGCTGTCTCATTTGCCAAGGTGTCGAAAATCAGATGGGCTGGTCACGTAATGAGATTTAAAGACGACCGTTGGACTAGAGCTGTTACTGATTGGATTCCACGGGATGTCAAGAGACTGTGTGGCCGCCCACCTACCAGATGGTCAGACTTCTTCCTGAAGATCATGAACGATCGGTTTGAGGCCCTTCATGTTCCCGGAGCGAACAGATGCCATTGGGCTACACTAGCACGCGACAGGGACAAATGGAGACGTTACTGGCGCCCGCTCGAGCAAATCGACGACTAACGGGAAGTTAAGTGATTAAGTGATTAAGTGGCTTGGAGGCCAGCCACACATGCTAGGGGAAAAGGGAGCTCAGATAGAGAAGGGAGCACCAAATAAAGGGTGTTGGGAGGATCCTTCCAGGATGGGAGAAGCATGCTGAAATTAGACTATAGACCAAACATGATTGCCACCCAATACCTCTTTTGCAAACCACAACACCCAAAAGGAGAGAGAACAAAAGGGCTGGGTGGGATGGGGGGAATGGGGGGTGGGAGGGATACTGGGACCCATGGTGGTGGAAAATGGGCACTGGTGGAGGGATGGGTACTTGATCATTTTATAACTGAAACCCAAGCACAAAAATTTGTAAGTCTACAACTGTACCTCATGGTGTTTCACTAATAAAAATTAAAAAAATTTAAAAAAGACTTGTTGGGAAAATGCTTGTCAGTAGAACACAAAAAACCAAAACTTCATCCAAGTTCTCAAGGGTAATATAATCAAAGTGTGCCTTGTTGATTTTCAGAAAGTCTGCATTTAGAAAATTCAAGCTGATTATAGAGGATGATCAGGGCAAAAACTGCCTGACCAACTTCCATGGCCGACCCGTGACAAAATGTGCTCCATGGTCAAAAAATGCCAGACCATGATTGAAGCTCTCATTGATGTCAAGACTACCAATGGTCATTTGTTTTGTCTATTGTGTGCTGTTTTCACAAAGAAACACAATTGTCAGATTCTGAAGACTTAGGATACTTAGCATCAGCAAGTCTTCTGGAAGAAGAGGATGGAAATCATGACTCAAGAGGTGGTCAATAAATTGATTCCAGACAGCATTGGGAAAGAGAAAAAGCTTGAGACATGCCTGTCTACTTACCCACTGCACCATGTCTTTGTTAGAACAGTAAAAATGCTGAAGAAGCCTAAATTTGAAACGGGGAAACTTGTGCAGCTTCATGAAAAAGCTACTGGGACAGGTGCTACAATTGAACTGGTTAATGGATATCAACCACTAGTGCAAGAATCTGTTTAAAATTATTCAGACATTCATTGGTAACAAATAAAAAAGCGCTATTTGTGGTGGTTTAATAAATAAATATATAAGGTAAGAAAAAATATAAATCTTTTATTTTTGTATACATTTTTGTATATATGTATATACATATATAAATATATCACCAGCAAGTCTGATATATTTGTATATAAATATACAAATTTGGGGAAGAAAATGGAGAAAACAAAAAGCAAAATCATCTTATAGCTATTCATCTAAAAGTGTATGGATTTTGTAAAAAAAAAAAAGTGGGGGGGCATGTTGACAAATTTTTGTTTAGAGCCAAGATCAATAGGGGTTGAAGATAATAAAGCAGGTTGGGCTATTGCCTTACACACAGTCAACCAGGGTTGGATCCTCAATGTCTCATATGATATCCCAGCATACCAGTACCACCAGGGATGATTCCTAAGTGCAGAGACAAGAATAACCCCTGCATATCATCAGTGTGGTCCCAAAACAAAATATAACAAAATAAAATCAATATATAAACATCAATGTTTCCATATCAGTAACAAACAGTAAATTGTCAAGAATTATTTGCTTATTTCATACACTTCAAAAAAATAGTAGTTTGTAATAAATTTAATTTTAAAAAAATTTCAAACCCCATGAAGGTAATTTTCAAACTTGTGAGAACAAACCTAAATTAATGTGCAGATATATATCAGATCCAATGTAAACACAGATTTTCATGAACTTTGAGAAAAAGATAAAGAAAAAACCTTAAATGGAAAGATGAAGGACTAAGAATAACTAAAATACATTTGAAGATGTAGATGAATGCTGACCCATGAGATGTCAAGATATTCTGCAGATAGAACAAGGAACTATACTATTTATGTAAAGAAAAACAGACCAATCCACAGAATCAAGAAACTGAATTAACAGGTCCATCTAAATTTAAGCCCTTGATTTACGACAAAGTTAGCATGCCAAAGGGGACTTTAATATATACTGTCCAAAAAAATATTACAAAACTGGTTATAGTTGCAAAAAGTGGAAAGCGATGTAAAATCAGATGAATTAAAGGCTTGGAGAGGTAGTACCGTGAGCAGGGCACTTGCCTTCCATGCAGCTGACCCAGGTTTGATCTCTGGCATCCCATATGGTCTCCCGAGCTGGCCAGTAGTGATCCCTGAGCATAGAACCAGGAGTAAGCCCTGAGCAAAGCCAGATTTGCCTCCCAGCCAAAAAAATTTAAAAGATTAAAGAAAATCAGATAAATCATGAAGTGTCATACTAGAGTGAGAATAAACTATAGCTACTTATCACCAGTTACATGCATCTAAAAAGCTAATATTGAGCAAAGGAAACAATGGGCCTGGGGTTGAGCACTGGGCCACATATGGCTGTTCTCAGGGATTACTACTGGTGGGACTCAGGGATCATGTGCAGTGCTGGGGACTAATCCTCCATCTGCTGCATGCAAGGTAAGCACCATCTTATTTGCTGTACTATCTCACCAGCCCCAAGAAACAATTTAAAAAATATCCAGTGTATTATATAAAACAATGTACAGGAAGCATTTTAAAACTTTAAATGGCATTTTCCATATGCAAATTTGATAATGTTGTCAACAAGAAAATTCAAAAGATAAATTTTCATTTTACTAATGATTTATTTTTATTAGATATAATTTCTATCCTATGATGAATAAAGGTGGTTTGGGATTTATTACAGATTTATGACTGATTTTTACTATATATCTGTTTCATAGGGAGCACAGAATGCTTGCTAAAAAAGAAAACAGAAAGCACTTTAGAAGATTTCATATCAAATTCTTATTACCACAGAAGTTAAAACAAACAAGCACACTATTTTTTGAGGATGATGAAAGTTTAAGGAACCAAATACTTAACTGTTGAGTATTATCTATTTTTATCCTAATAAGTTGAAAAATCCTCTAAATATTTTTAATATCCTAAGTTGAAGCAAGGTAGCTGATTCATCTAATAATTTCCATAAATTGCCTTTCTCCACTCAACTATATGAAAGAAAATTAATTATAATTTTAACATTGTAATAGCATAACTTTAATAGAATCAGATATATTTTAATAAATGTTTATTATTCATTCATGCATAAATTGCCAACATTTCAATGTCTGAGAAATTTCTCTTCAAAAACTGAATAATAAGAGTTATTTGAACTTTTTAAATGGCAGTCCATAGCTTTTTAAAAAAGAATCTAAAATGCAATTTTCACTAATTATAGCTTCTTTGGAAGCAAAGAGGTCTATATTAAATCTTGTCACATTTTAATCTACATTTAATTATCATAGATCAGTCTTCAAATGCCTGTTGATGAGAAAGAAAATCACACAGCATATGGTAACTAAGGAGCACTGTGGAAGTTGCAAAGCCTCTCTTCCTTTGCCTCTGTGGTTAAATGAAACAGTATTCTTAGGAAGACTCTCAAAATAGATAATTTTATGATACAAGAAATCATCCCTTCAGGGTAGGTTAGGAGACAAGAACCTACACTGATTGATATTAATTGCTCTCAAAGTTTTGTTTTCTTTTGGTATCAATTTGAAGCAAAAATGTTCTCAGAATGTTTGTACTGGTGCAGTGTAAAGCAGATGGTAATTTAGCTCCTCCTTACAACCTCTAGATTCTGTGATTTGCTACCATAATCTAGTCAGCCATCTCTTTCAAGGAAACTGCCCCGTGTGTGGTTCCTGCTGGAGAAATTGAAGAAATTAGCTATGGATTTTTCTTCTACATGAAAACTAGTATTCTTTATTATATCACCCACCTGCCAACCCTCCCTTGGGTCACACCTCATTGGAAAGTGGCAAAACATCTGACCTAAGCAGTTAACTGTTTAAAATCTCTGGGAACTTGAACATACACTGAGAATGTGAAGTCTACAGTGGAACTACAAAATAAAAGAAAATCAAATGCAAACCATGAGGTGAAGGAAAAGGTGTGATAAATTGCATCAAATTATGAAGAAGGAAATGGGAGTGTGTGGAGGATGTTGGATGAATTTCAGTTAAAAAAAAAGCAAGTTTCTGTTGGAAAATCAATATTGATAGTGATGAGCTAAGCTCTGGGAGGAAGATGCAAAACTCCATCCTGAGAAATCTTTACCTTACCAATATTGTATACACCAAGCATCAAGCTTTGACTTTTTTCACATGGAATATTCTCTTGTGGCCACGGAGATTACTTAAAATAATAGCCTCTTAAATTCTTTAAAATAATACCCTTTTGTGGACAGGGAGATTACTTAAAAGGTTCGAGTGCATATTTTGCAAATGGAAGCCATAGCTATGATACCCTGTAAAACAAGGTATGTGCACCCTGTAAAACCAAATGTGCAACCTGTAAAACCAAACTTTATATATATATATATATATATATATATATACATATATATATATATATTTGCTTTTTGGGTCACACCCGGCAATGCACAGGGGTTACTCCTGGCTCTGAACTCAGGGATTACTCCTGGCAGTGCTTGGGGGACCATATGGGATGCTTGGAATCGAACCCGGGTCGGGAGCGTGCAAGGCAAACGCCCTACCCACTGTGCTATTGCTCAAGCCCCAGCTTTATATATTTTTTAATGTAGGAGTACTTCTATTTATTCAGCCACTGATTAGCTGATTGAATTGGGCATGAACTCCACCTTACTTTTTTTCCATACCTTTATTTATTTTTTGTCTTATATTTATTTATTGAATCACTGTGGGAAAAGTTACTAAGCTTTCAGGTTTAAGTCTAGGTCATATAATGATTAAATACCTCTCCCTTCACCAGTACTCATTTTTCCCCACCAAGAACCCCAATATACCCCCCTCTCCCCCTCCCAATGCCCACTTGAAGTATATCAAGTGGTATAGAAAGGCAAAATATAGCAAGCATTGTAGAGTTTGTAAGACTACACAAAATATGTAAATTATTATGAAATTGTATTTTTGTTTCAAAATTACAGTTACCTTCTTTTTAAAATTTTCTTTCCCCTTAGAATCTCCAATGTGCCTTTAATATAAACTTTGGTGCTCACTTCAGCCACACAAATACTAAAATTGGAGCAATACAGAGAAGATTAGCATGCTCTCCCCACAAGAGGATGACATGCAAATTCATGAAGGGTTCCATAATTTTCCTCTCAGTACCTGTATTGCAACCCATAATGTTCAAAAGGAGAGAGAGCAAGAGCAAGAGAGAGAGAGAGAGAGAGAGAAGGAAAGTGTCTGCCATAGAGAGAGGCTGGTGGCTTGGGGTGGGGGAAGGGAAAGGGAGGTAACTGGGGACAATGATGGTGGGAAATTTACACTGGTGAAGGGATGGTTGTTGGAACATTGTATGACTTAAATCCAACTATAAACATCTTTGTAATGGTGTATTTCACCGTGACTCAATAAAAAAAATAAGTAATATCAGAAACAAGAAAATATAAATAAAGTAAATTTGTAGGGCTGGAGCGATAGCACAGCGGTAGGGTGTTTGCCTTGCACACAGCAACATGGCCGACCTGAGTTCGATTCCTCCGCCCCTCTCGGAGAGCCCGGCAAGCTACCGCGAGTATCTCGCCCACACGGCAGAGCCTGGCAAGCTCCCCGTGACGTATTCAATATGCCAAACACAGTAACAACAAAGTCTCCAATGGAGACGTTACTGGGCCCGCTCGAGCAAATCGATGATCAACGGGAGGGCCTTTACCTTTACCTTTACCTAAATTTGTAGGGAAAACTGGGGACATTGGTGGTGGAAATGTACGTTGGTAAAGGGATGAGTGTTGGAACATTGTATGACTGAAACCCAGTCATAAGCAGCTTTTTAAACTGTGCACCCTTGTATGTTTTTGCAGCACTATTTATAATAGCTAGAATATGGAAAAAAACCAAGTGTCCTAGAGCAGATGACTGGTTAAAGAAACTTTGGTATATCTACACAATGGAATACCATGCAGCTGTTAGAAAAAAAATGAAGTCATAAAATTTGCATATAAGTGGATCAACATGGAGAGTATTCCACTAAGTGAAATAAGTCAGGAAGAGGACTTATATAGAAGTACTGCACTCATTTGAGGAATATAAAGTAACATAATAGGAGACTAACACCTAAGGACAGATAAAATAAGAGTCAGAGGGACTGCACCACAGCTTGATAGCCAATCTCATGTACTGGGGTAAAGGTAGCTGGGATGGAGAGAGGAGCACTAAACAAATGATGGTTGGAGGGATCACTCGGGATAGTAGATCATGTTGAAAGTAGACTATGGACCAAACATGATGGCTGCTTGTTACCTGTATTGCAAACCATAACACCCAAAAGGACAGGGAGAGTAGGAGGGATTGTGCCTGCCACAGAGGCAGGAGGTGGGAATGGTGGGGTGGGGGAGGGATACTGGGAACATTGAAGGTGGAGAATGGGCACTAGTGGAGGGTGGGTACTTGAACATTGACTGAAATGGAATCATTAAAGTCTGTAAGTCTGTAAATGTATCTCACGATGATTCATTAAAACAAAAAATAAATTTAAAAAAATAAATAAATAATAAACTGTGTACCTCAGGGTGATTCAATAAAATAAATAAATAAATTTTGGTATTTACCACTTTTTTTTTGCTTGTCAACTTAATTCAAGTGTAAAATACAATTGCAAACAAGAAATTTGAAAAGTCAATGTAGTATTATAATACCCTCACACCCCCTTCATCATTCTCGTATCATGTAAATTTTTATCCTGAAAATTATAATACAAATAAGCAGTAACTTATATATAAAATTAAACACCTCTTGATTTCATTGCAGACAAGATCATTGTCGTGACACTTATAAATAAGAGAAAGAAGTACTCGGACTCTGTTTTTGATCTCTAAGTATTTTCCAATTCTTATCCATATTACACCACATAATCAGAACACCCTGATTTTTGAGTCTCAAAAAAAGGTTTATAACCTTCCACTGTATAATTATTGATAGGATAGGAATAAATGATTTGTTTGTTTGTGTGTGGTCATACCCATTGGTGTTTAGGGAAAACTCCTGGTTTTGCACTCAGGAATCACTGAACAAGCAGTAAGTCAAGGAGGAAATCAGAAAGCAAAAAATTCCTGAAGCAAATGAGAATGAAAACATGAGCTTCAAGATCATAAGGAACACAGCAAAAGCAATTGTTAAGAATGAAGTTCGTAACAACGCAAGTGTTCATTAGGGAACAAGGAATTGCTCATTGTACAGCTTTGGCAGCTAAAAAATGACAAAGGATACCCAGAACAAGCAAAAGGAAGGAAATAATAAAACTTAGAGCAGAAATCAATAAAACGGGAACTTTTAAAAAATATCCAAAAAAATTGATGAAACCAAAAGCTAGTTCTTTAAACAATAAACAAACTTGACGAACATTTAGGTGAATTCAAAAGAGAGAAGTCCTTAATAAGCCGAACATAAATGAAAGGGAGATACCACAACAGATCAACAGATGGTTCAGAGATTCAAAGTACCACCCAGGATTATTATGAAATTTTCTATGGAGTGAAATTAGAAAACCTCAAAGAAATAGATAAACTTTTTAACTCCTAAACTTCCAAGACTCCCAGGGCAGGAAAGAGAAATAGTACAGTGGATTGTGTGCTTGTCTAGTAGATAGAGTGCTTGCCTTGCTCACAGTCAACCTATTTGATTCCTGACTCCCCATGTGAAATTCAAGCACTTCCAGGAGTGATTCCTGAGTACAGAGACAGGAGCAGGCCTTGAACACTGCCAGGTATAGCCCCATCACCCTCCTGCCCCTGTACACACACACACACACACACACACACACACACACGCACGCACGCACGCACGCACATACACACGCAGTTAAAAATCATCAGAAGTCACCGAAAAAGCAGAAGCTAAGGTCCAGATGAGTTCACTAACTGAATTCTTTCAAATCTTAAAAAAAAAACACTTTACTTTTAATTTTTTTTATGCTCTCCCATAAAGTCAAAGGAACAGGACCCCTCCCCAACAGTTTTCTCAAGGCAAACAATAACCTGATACCTAATGCAGAGACACCACTTTAAAAAAAATCATAGACCTATATCCCTGGTAAATATAGATTCAAAGATTATAAACAAAATACTAGCAAACCAAACCCAACAATACATAAGAAAGATCATATACCATGACCTAGCAGGAGTAATCCCAGGGGTGCAAGAATAGTTTAATATATACAATTCAATAAACAAATTTATCATCTCAATAAAAGAAAAAATGAAAGGTATTTAATCATATCAAATGATGCTAAGAAAGCATTTGAGACAAGATCCAACTCACATTTATGAAAAAAAAAACTATAGCTACAAATCATTGTAATAGCCTTTAAATAGGTATGTGTGTGTGTGTGTGTGTGTGTGTGTCTATGTATGTATGTGTTTTAAGAAATGAGCAAGGAGGAAGGCAATGTTTGTGCTAACAGCAGGGTCTGAGTTAGTTTTTTAAAAAGTTCTTTGTTTTAATAATCTGAAAATTAAGAATACTCCAGTAATTGAAATAAAAAGGTTTCTTTGCTGTTTTTGTTTTTCGGTCATATACTGGGCAAGGCATTCATGCACTTGTCCCTTTGTGTTACCTGTCCTACTCCAGAAATTTCGTCTTAAAAGTCGCTTTTCTGTGTCTTAATTATTTGGACTTTTAGTACTTAATATAACATACATAATAGGTATGTCACAAATACCTATGTCACAAATAGTTGTTACTGTTTTCTATACTGTTTTTACAATATACACTGCAACAGTTTTTCTCCTGTTTCGATTTTGCTAAACTGATTAATGGTTCTAGATTCTGTTATTAACTTGTTAGTATTAATTTTTAAAAATTCTTATTTCCCCCTTAGCGAAAATTCATTTAAAGACACTCCTCCCCTTTTGTTGCACAAAAGCAATCATCTATGTCAACTCTTTCAATGAGCTAACATGCCATGATAAATTTAATTCACTGTACCATTTTAATCATTAAATTATACTTTATGTTCACATTTTTTGAGTGTCAATAGATCACTGGTTTAATGGAGTGTAATAAATTAGTTCTTAATTGATTATTGTTCGCATTAATCATTGCACTTTCACAAAGATCTGTGAAATGTACAGACATAATTTGATGCTCCAGAGCACAGAGTAAAGAATGGATGCCAAGCATAAAAAATATGATTTTGAAAAGCCAGAAAAAAATAAACCTAGAGTGTCAAATATTAGAATGATGTTTATAGTTGGAATCTTTTTAACCCAGTCAGAACAACAAAGATGAATTTCATTTTAAGAAATATCTATAATAAAAGATAGTTCCTCGAGGTGTAATTTTCTTATCAAAACAGGTTTTTGCCTAAAATCAGCAATAATGTTTTAAGAGATCCCAGGTATTTGACTGACGGCCACAATGTTTCAAACTGTGACTATGCACTGCACTATTATTTCTGCAAGATACAGTGATGGTTATTTTGTATAATGCAAACATTAAACAGTCCATGATAAAATGATATAGTTCTTGGAAGTAACTGTATGTTCCACTACCCTTACTAAATAACCAGTCAAACTCTTCTAAATTATATCTTCTTTGAAGTGCCCTTGTAAGTGAGCAAAGAAGCATGCCACTTTATTCTAAGTAGTTGACAAGAATACTATTAAATATCAAGAAAAATTGAACTCATCTCTTCTGAATAGTAAATCAAGTGCTTCAGATAGCTTTTTTTTGTCATTGTAATACAATATATTATGGTGTGCATTTAAAAGGATACTTACAATCTAAAAAATTCTAAGGGAACCAAAAAATAAAATTTTTAGTTATAAATTAATAAAAAGTCAACAGACTAGAACAGTGCAAAAATAGAAGACAAATTATAAGTTAGGCTCCCTAATTAAATGTTCCTTCCATTATATCTTCCTGTATTATTTACTTTAAATACAAAATACACTAAAAAGTAATCCTCCTTTCTCAATACTTCCTCTTTGTTTTCAAAGTCTGAACTTCTAACCCAAAGTAATGTGCAGATTCAATGCAATCCCTATCAAAATTCCAACAGCATTCTTCAAGGGAATGGAACAAACATAAACTAAAATTTGTATAGAACCACTAAAGACCCTGAATAACCACAAATCAATGCACTAGAATTTAGACTTC